AATATAACAACAAGTTCATCCACAACGGGTTCACCCAAAACCTTAGATTAAAAGAGTTAGCTACTCATAACAATGATGTTCATCATAATAATCAAATTCATTACAAATCATAAAAACAAAAGGAAGAAGAGAAGAACTTGATGTAGAATACTCCTCCTTGCCTCTTGCCTTTCCTTTTCTTGCTCTCAGCTATCAAAAGCTGCACAACCCCCCTTTGGCCGAGCTTGACCTTCTATAGGTTAAGTGAATTTTCCCCAAGACTTCCAAATTTACCCCTGAGAATTATTTTTCGGAACTGGGCTAGCGCGGCCGCGCACATGGGCGCGCTAATGGCCGCGCTAGTAGCCTACCATTCTGCCTCGACCATCTGGGCTAGCGCGGCCGCGCTAGTCCAGTCCTTCATTTGGTCAATTCTTTTTCTCGTCTTCTCGCTTACTCAGCTCCTAGAGGTCTTTCTTGCTTCAATGTAGCTCCAATCACAGCTTTAGGACCTCATACAAGCTCCTCATTCCTGCAACACAATTTAGAGCTCATTTTTCATCATTTAATTATATTAGAGCATTGAAACATAATCAAGCTGGGGCAAAACAATCGTCAAATGACATAAATCTAGCCTAATATCAACACCCCACACTTATATCTTTGCTAGCCCTCGAGCAATCCACCACCCTTTATAGAGGTTCCTTCACTAAGCATTCTTCCCTAACGCATCACACCAAGAACAAATCACATGAGTTACACCTAGTAGTGAACAATCCTAGCCTCAAAAGTTGACTCTCACGTGCCGTGCAATATTCATACCTTCTCAAGCTACTCTACACAGAAGTCAAGACTTGCCTTCCCTTCATGAATCACATGCCCTCACATTCACACAAGAGAGTAGTTCCACATATAATGATATTTAGAACAATTAGGAACTTGGATAGATGAAATTCACTCACTCTAAAAAAAAGAACATTCATATCACAAAGATGCATCATAAGCTTACCCGTAGTGTACTACTCTACTAATTGAGCCACTCAGTCTAAGATCAATAGGACCTCACTTGGTTGTAATGTAGGCTAAGGGACGGGTAGGATATATTTGATATAGTGACTAACCTCCCTACGCACTTTTTAATACAATTACATTAACATTCAAAGCCATACTTCTGTCAACCAAACATTTCACCACCATTTTTTTTATTTACAACAACCCCATCCATTAGGGGCAATTATAGCAAACCACCACTTCTCAACCACTATATTTTTTTTTGTGTTACTTCATCTTTTATGCGACAAAATTCGACATCTTTTTTTTCCGATTTCGGTGGTTCCACTCAAAAACCAAACCCTACCCCACACTTTTGCCTTTGCATAATTCTCAATACCATTCAAGTGCTTATGTGAGGAAAAAGGGTTCAAACAGAAGGCTATTCAAACAATTGGGTAAGGTTTGCAATGTGGTTGCCAAAGAAATAGGCTTATAGGCTCAACGGGGTTAACTAAGATGTATTGCAGTTAGGTGGGTTTACTTTATAAGTCTGGCTCAACAAGGAATTGCCTATATCACTTCTAAGACTGAATGAAACTACTATTTCGCGTTGCAAACACACAGGGCAAGTTCTAGGCATCAAATGTGAATCATGGAATACATTAAAACTCACACATATGGCACATGACTCATTCAAGATTGGCTTATCAAGACACTCTCTTCTGATTATTCAAGTCAGTGACAAATATACAATTTAAGGCACTTTAGCAAGAATCAACTACTGAGCACAAGCGTTACACTCTAGTGTCTATTGTGTTCAGGTGTAAAAACGCTAGAGGTTTTTCTTTTCAAATTCAGCTCGTTAGCCCATTAATCCTAATTTAAAAACTAAAAAGAAAACAAAATGAATAAAAACTACCTATACCCGGTTCAAGCTAAACCCTTGGAAAAGAACCGTGGCTCAAAGAAAAATCAAGGGGGAGTTACTACACTACCTAAAAAGAAAATAAAAAATCTTTTTGTATTTTTTTTATACTAACTTCCCTCAAGAAAATTATCTAAAAGATCCATCATCAGGAAGAGTCTTCATTTTCATTTTTTTTGTTCGACTTAGTCCAAGCTACTTACATACTTTAAACTAATTAACTCTTACTTAACACCAAAGCAATCAAAGCTAAACAACCAAAACAAAACAAAACCAACCAAAATCAACTAGTCAAAGGTTACAATTACATATATACAATGAAGTATCCCCACCCCACACTTATATTGAAGATATGTCCCCATGGCTTTAAAAATTAAAGAACAGTGAGGTAGAGGTACTTCCCTGAAGGCTCACTTCTGGTCGGAGACGGTGTCTGGGTTCACGTTGCACGCTCGTCCCAAAGCTCTCAACCAGTCCAAGAACTTTTTTTCAAACTTCCCCTGCCTGTCAGCCACCACCTCAACACGGGCACCTAAATCTGTGACTGAAGTATGTAACCCAGCCATCTCTTGTTCCAAATTGGTCATGCGGGTGCTCCTGCGTGGTTGTGAAGATGTGGATTCCCTAGATGGTATTGCAACTTCTACAACGTGCTCTGGGGCCTGGGGTTCGACCCTCATATTCTCCGCTTCTTTATCCTCGTCGTCTGAGTCGTCAGAGCTACCACTACTCTCTTCCTCTGCTGTTGCTGGCTCCTTACCCGTGGTTACTTTGTCCGCTCGGAACTTGCAGTCCTTTTTTACGAGCCCATCCGCAGCTAGATTTTCGGGCACTCGAGCATCCATGCAAAGCTGAGTTAGTAAAGAAGGGAATAAGAATCCATACCTTTTTATTCGGCTGCGGATGAACATCTCGTCATGTATTACTTTAGCCACGTCAAAGTTGTGTCCATTGACGAAGCACCAAATCAAAGCAACTCTAGGCCCATTTACCTCTGTAGTATTGTGGGATGGAATCAAATGGTTGTTGATGAGATACAACCAACATTTTGCTTCAAAAGTGAGTGCGGAGAAGTGGAACTTCTCACCATATTGCATCCAAACCACATCTTTCTCCGGTGCACAGATTGTTTCAAAGAATCACTACCACTTTTCCTGTGTTGGGTTACGGCCATACTTATAAAAGTCATCATAATCAATCACAGGAGGGGGTAGCTGGTATGTCATCCTTATCGCCTCAATAGAGGCATTCAACGCTTTCCGTCGTATTGTGACGATGCCATTGTCATGCTCAGGTGCGTTGGCGTAAAATTCCCTCACAACCATTACATTACCCTCACCGGGCTCATTAATGAATGTTTGTAGCCCTCGTCTCATCAGCTTATCGTACATGTGAGGGCAATTTCGCTGGAGTGATCGGACGTCAATACCCCACTCAGGAATTGGCATTTTGGAAGCCTTCTCAGCAAAGCAGTCTTGGGCTTTAGCCGAGACAAATTTGTGATTATCAAAAGGGCGTTCAGGGGTAGCCTCGCATGTCCTGGATGAGCTAGCTTGTCTGCTAGAAGATGGACCGGTGGTGCGGCGTTTCTTCGATGGAGCCATGGTACCTGAAAAACGGGAACAAATAAGTACCTCCCAACACTAAAAATTGTGACGCACTACGGTTACTCAGATTTCACACGCATACGTGGCACAATTACATAATTACACTCATTGAGGCCTTTTCACAAACACCTTGTGGGCATTAGGCACTCACAACCCATTCAAAGCAATTTACAACATGAACCCACTACCAAATTTTCCAAAAGTCACAATTCAAGTAAAACAACACTCTACAATTCGCACCACCCACAAATACTACAATAATTATTACCAAATCTACTACTAACAAACAAATAAAAAAAATAACCATATAAAAGAAAGCACACTTAAACACACAAAAATCTGCAGAGATTATGTGAAAACAAAGAAAGAAAATTGAAACAAGAGTAACATACGTGTAGTGTGAGTGAGGAGTAGAGAAGAGGGTTAAAGGGGAATGTTATTGGAGACTTAGAGAAACTTGAAAGATATGAAAATTTTCTGGAAGAGGGGAGCTGAAGAAGAAAAGAAATTGAGTTATGAGAGATTGGGGAGGGTTTCTGAAGTTTTTAGGGCGTGTGGTTTGGTGGGGGGGGAGGGTTTGTTAGATGTGGGTTATTAGATGAGGGGGGAGGGAATTTAGACTAAAGAAAAAGAGGAAATTGAATCATAAAAAAAATTTAGAACAAGTGAAAAATTGTCAGTTATAAGGGCTTAAATCGAGCGTTCGTAGCGCGGCCAAATGCGCGATCGAGCTAGTCTAGCACGACCAAGGCAGAAAGTTTTGCCAAATTAGCGCGTTCACTCGCGCGGCCACTAGCGTGATCGCGCTAGTAGCGCGGCCAGTAGCGCATTCACTAGCGCGGTACAGGCATAATGTTTTGCCAAATTAGCGCGGTCTTAGCATGTTCAGGAGCGCGATCGCACTAGTAGCGCGTTCATGAGGGCGGTCGCGCTACTGGGCTTTGATTTTTTTTTTTACAATTTTCACCTGATTTTTCTATTTTTGATTGCCTTATCACCCGCCCATTGTCACCTACATTGGTTAGCATTTTCAAAAACTCACAATTAACCACTACTACTATCGTCGGGTTGCCTCCCGACCAGCGCCTTAGTTAACGTCGTGGCACGACGTAGATCAAGCGCATTTAAGGCTCGCTCGACCTTTGTGGTTCAACGAGAAGTATGACGGACAACTCTTTCATTTTATCCATCCCCACATACAGTTTGAGTCGTTGTCCATTAACCCTGAAGGTGTTAGTGCTATCTTTACTGGTTATCTCCACAGCCCCAAACGGGAATACTTCGGTCACCCTGAACGACCCAGACCATTGGGACTTAAGCTTACCAGGAAACAATCTAAACCTTGAATTATACAATAATACCTTATCTCCGGGTTTGAAATTTTTATCCATAATGTGTTTTTCATGCAACCTCTTCATTCTTTCCTTGTATAGTCTCGTGATTTCAAAGGCGTGATATCTGAATTCCTCCAACTCATGCAACTTTGTCAGTTGATTTCATCCAGCCTCATCAGGGTTCATGTTCAATTGCTTTAGTTCCCACCAAGCTCGATGTTCTAGCTCCACAGGCAGGTGACAGGCCTTCCCAAATACCAACTTGTACGGTGACATACCAATAAGTGTTTTGAATGCAGTCCTATATGTCACAACCCAAGCCGATGGGCCATGACGGGCACCCGGTACCTTACTCAACCGAGTACCAATGTAACATATCTTTCTTATTACACCATCATATACTCGTGACATACGGGCCTAATAGGCCAACATGATCATTTATAAACTCAAAACATAGGCCGACAAGGCCGTACAATCTTTCACGTACACAACATATGTCTACAAGCCTCTAAGAGTACATAAATATCATAAAGGTTGGACAGAGTCCCGCCATACCAAACAATATACATCTAAATCATACTAACCAAACACGCAACTCCGAAGCAAATGGAGCGCACCAACATCTTCCGTTGAGCTGATAACCTACTTGGAGGGCTCTCGATTTGTCTATCTGGATCTACGGGCATGAAACGCAACGTCCCCAGGCAAAAGGAAGGTCTGTACGAATAATGTACCGAGTATGTAAGGCACATAAATAAGTACATAATAGACATGAAAAAAATATAGAGTACATGACTCAACCTGTAAGTCTGACTAACTTTGTAAATCATAAATTACTTCTAGCGTCATGCATATGCGTATGAATGTCATGTCGTGCATATGTACATATTTCATAACATCATCAGCCTCTGAGGGCATCCCATCATATTATATTGGCTACTGTGAGCAAAATCATCATCGCATACCGGCTGATTAGGTGGTGGTGCGTATATAACGCCATAATCTTTCCATATCCCATATACATATACATACATACACACATACATACGTGTATATAACGCTATTTGAATCATATTTAAGCCACTGTGGGCAACATCATCATCATATACCAGCTGATCAGGTGGTGGTGCGTATATAATGCCGTAACCTTTTCCCATATCCCATATACATATATTTATATATATATGCGTATATAACGTCATCTGGTCATGGGTCAATGCACATGTATGAAATGCATGAAAAATATGTAATAATTTTAATATTCCTTCCGGATAAATTTTTCCAACTGCATATTATTCTGAGACCCATGAGCAGAAGATAAAATATTATGACATACGGAAATTCAAGAACATAGATATCTCTAATAATTCTATGAATAGAGTCATTTATAGAATTTGTGCATTTGCACGTTTTGTTCGTATCATATGGATCATGCCAAAAGAAAGAAGGGATAGCCTTAACATGTCCGGACCCCATAAGTAATTGAGACCTGAGCAACGTGAACCAGTGAAATAGAAGGTGGTGTTGCACTTCCAAGATACGGGTCCCTGTATTTCTCCTGCTCATTGATTTACCCAGATAAAAAAGAGAAGAAAGTATCATCACCGCCTAGTTTCTTTTCATTTTTTTGGTGAGGAGTTGCAGAGACAAATTTAGTACAACTCCAAAATTGGATGACGATTTTGAGTCAAAAACTTCATAGGGTGTGTATTATTTTTCTTTGAGATTTTTCTTTTAAGAGACAAGCCATCAGAATCCTTGGTTTATAATTTAAAGAACAATCCAAGTCTTTGTACCTTAATCAACGATAAAGATTAACAATGAGAGTTATACATATCACCTGATCCAATTGATTCAATAGTCACTTAGTTGGATCACATGTTAGTGACACATTGAATTCTTATCCAATTATATCAATTAATTAGTTAATCTCCCACTAAAATCAATAATTACCCAACTATCACATAATTAAAAATTATCTCAAATTACTTATCATACCACTTACTTTTAACACACTTTATACATCTTGCTATTATGGTCATGTGGTATATTACTAGTTCATAAATACCGAGTATTTTAGCTCGGCCAGTATTTTATCCCAAAATGCCAAAGTTTGACAAAATTCATTTTATTAGACTTGCTCCCTCTTTCACCTTCATGAATTTACTAATCCCTTGTGAAATAACATAATCCTTATAATCCCCAAATAATCTTTTCCTTGGACTGATGTCAATTACCATAAGACAAATTCAACGTAAAATACAGCAGGGTGCAATACTGTCGTAACTTATTATTACGAAGCGTAATATCATCGTAATGTAATACCATCGGGTACAACACTATTATAACTTAATACTGCAGGACGTAACATCAATCGTAATATATTACTGCAGAGGGTAACACCATCGTAACATATTACTGCAGAGCATAACATTGTCGTAATATAATAATGCGGGACGTAATATTGATGTAATATTGCGGAGCGTAACACTATAGGCCCAGAGTGCATCGTCAAGCTTTTTCGCCCAATCAGTTCTTGTGGCGTTTACAGTTTTAGTAAGCACACTCTTGATCTCACGGTTTGAGACCTCTACCTACCCACTTGTTTGAGGGTGATACGGGGTCACCACCTTGTGGTGCACGTCATATTTAGACAACAACTTCTCAAAGACACGATTGCAAAAGTGCGTGCCTCCGTCACTAATGATGGCTCTCGGAATTCCGAATCGGGTGAATATATTCTTCTTCAAGAACCCCACCACCACTCTCGAATCATTGGTAGGGAATGCTGCAGCTTCCACCCATTTGGATACATAATCTACCGCAACAAGTATGTATTTATTGCCGTAAGAACTGACGAAGGGACCCATGAAATCAATTCCCCAGACATCGAACACCTCAACTTGCTGAATTGGATTCATTGGCATCTCATGTCTACGGGATATATTGCCCGTTCTTTGGCATTCATTGCAACCCTTTACCCATTGGTGAGCATCCTTAAAGATTGTTGGCCAGCAGAACCCGACCTCTAACACCTTCGCTGCTGTCCAAACTCCTCCAAAATGTCCTCCATAAGGTGACGCGTGACAAGCCTGCAAAACAGAATATTGTTCTATCTCGGGGACACATCTCCGGATCATGTTATCAATGCAAATTTTAAACAAATACGGTTCATCCCAGTAGTAGCTTCGGCAGTCACGATAAAATCGTTTCTTTTGAACATAGAAGAGTTCATATGGTTCAATGTCGCAGGCCAAATAGTTTGCAATATCAGCATACCATAGCACATCTTCCACACTTGTGGCTAGCAGCTGCTCATCTGGAAAGGTTTCCAGAATATCCTCAGACTTAGTTGCATTTTCAGCACCTTCAAGGCATGACAAATGATCAGCGACTTGGTTCTCCGTGCCCTTACGGTCACGAATCTCCAAGTCAAACTCTTGCAGAAGCAGCACCCAACGAATTAGGCGTGGCTTGGACTCTTTTTTATCAACTAAATACCGAATGGCTGCGTAATATGTGTACACGATCACCTTCGACCCTATCAAGTAAGACCTGAACTTATCAAAGGCGAACACAACAGCCGACATTACTTTTTCAGTTACCGTGTAATTCAGCTGAGCACCACTCAGCGTCCTACTAGAGTAGTAAATAGGGTGCATTACCTTATCCTTACGCTGTCCCAACATGGCTCCCACAACGTAGTCACTAGCATCACACATGAGTTCAAACGATTGCTCCAGTCGGGAGCAACTATAATCGGTGTTATGACTAGCCGCTTCTTTAGTTCCTGAAAAGCCACCCTGCAATCATCAGAAAACACAAATGGGTTATCTTTTTCGAGCAACTTACAGAGGGGATTGGCGATCTTGGAAAAGTCCTTGATGAATAGCCGGCGTGTCCTAGGAAGCTACGAATAGCCTTGATTGATGTGGGAGGTGAAAGTTTTTCTATCACGTCGACTTTGGCTCTGTCCACCTCAATCCCTTTACTCGACACAAAGTGCCCCAAGACAATTCTTTCTTGTACCATGAATGGTACTTCTCCCAGTTCAACACTAGATTCATCTCGATACACCTCTTCAGTAAGCGGGTTAAATTTGCTAGGCATTCATCGAACGAATTTCCCACCACTGAGAAGTCGTCCATGAAGACCTCCATAATGTCTTCCACCATGTCTGTGAAAATGGCCATCATGCACCATTGGAATGTTGCAGGCGCATTACAAAGGCCAAATGGCATTCTCCTGAAGGCAAACACTCCGTAAGGGCAAGTAAATGAAGTCTTTTCCCTATCCTCCGGGGAAATAGAAATCTGGTTGTACCCCGAGTATCCATCCAGAAAATAGAAGTGTGACCTCCCTGCCAATCTATCTAATATCTAATCAATGAAAGGTAGTGGGAAATGGTCCTACCGGGTGGCTAGATTTCGCTTTCTATAATCCATGCAAATTCTCCAACCTGTGACGGTTCTTATAGAGATCAATTCGTTGTTATCATTTTTAAATACCGTCATGCCACCCTTTTTAGGTACATAATGAACTGGGCTAACCCAGCTACTATCAGAAATTGGGAAAATGATTCCCCCATCTAACCACTTGATCACTTATTTCTTCACTACTTCCTTCATATTGGGGTTCAGCCTTCTTTGGTGTTCCCTGGAAGGTTTGTGTCCCTTTTCCAGTAGAATTTTGTGCATACAGTATGCGGGGCTGATCCCTTTTATGTCTGCCATGGTCTATCCAATGGCAGTTTTACACTCCTTGAGTATCTGCAGAAGTTGTTGAGCCTGCACATCTAACAAACTAGATGAGATAATAACAGGTAATGTGGAGTCAGGTCCAAGAAACTCATACCTGAGATGGGCTGGCAATAGCTTTAACTCCAGCTTTGGTGGTTCTTCGATTGATGGCTTGGCTGGAGAAGTTTCTCTGTTTTCCAAGTGCAAGGGCTCAAATTCAAGATTTCTATCTCATAACCCTCTACCCTCTAATGCCATCACCCATCCAGCCAGTTCTTCTCCCTTTACCTCATCTAAATTCATTATACACGCAGCGAGGGGGTATTGAATAGTCAACAGTTCATCATCGGTCTCTACGATTACATCCATGGCATCAATAAGAGAGCAATTGGCGAATTCACTTAGTCGCCTCATAGATTTTTGCACGTTGAATGTTATCTCTTCATCGTTCAACCTCATCTTTAACTCCCCAGTTTCACAATCAATTAAAGCTCTACCCGGGGCCAGGAATGGTCTTCCCAAAATTATGGGAATCTCTTCATCCACTTTCAGTCTAAGATTACAAAATCTGCAGGGAACACAAATTTCCCTACCTGAATCAACACATCATACATAATACTAGAGGGTCGCTTTACCGTCCTGTCAGCCAGCTGCAACAACATAGAGGTGGGTCTAGCTCTTCCAATACCCAACCTCTTATAAATTTCTAGGGGCATAAGATTAATGTTGGCCCCTAGATCACACAGTGCTTTAGCAAAGGCAAAATCACCAATAGTGCATGGGATTGTAAAGCTCCCTGGGTCAGACAGCTTTTCCGCAATTGGTCTAGTCACCACTGCACTACAGGTTTGAGTAAGAGTAACTGTGGCCAAATCTTGGAAATCAAATTTTTGGGACATTAAGTCCTTCATCATTTTTGCATACCCAGGCATCTCTTTCAAAGTATCAATTAAGAGAATATTTACCTGGATTTGTTTTAGCATCTCCAAGAACTTCTTGTATTGCTCCTCTTTTTGGTACTTAGCTAACCTCTGAGGGAAGGGTGCAGGAGGTCTCTTCTTCCCAATCATTTGGGATCAATCTTTATCAGCTGCCACATCAACCACTAATTCCTGTGCTATCTCAGCTTCTTTCTCGGTCTCCATTTGAATGCAACTTTCTTCCTGGGCAGGCTGGATTGTCACCTCTGTCAATTTCGTTGATTCATCCAACTCAATGGGCACTGATATGAGTGTCTCAGCCTCCCTAGCTTCTCGAGCCCTTTCTTGCTCAACATCCAAATCTCTGCCATTACGTAGGCTCACCGCCATCAGCTGCTTCAGGACTTGATCTTTTGGATTTACCTGGGTATCTGCAAGTAATGTTCCATGAGGGCGATTGTTTAGAGACATCAAAATTTGGCCCATATGCATTTCAATATTCTTGATCGCTGAACCATGTGCATCTACTCTCTCACTAATCTTTCATTAGACCCAATAAACTATTGCATCATTGCTTCAAGTCTAGCAAACCCATCTTCCTGCCTTCCACTATACTACTGCTGAGGAGGGTGATACCCCTGTTGTTGATTCTGATTATTGTATCCCTATGGTCTTGGGTAAGGTGCTATATTGTTGGGGGGTCTCATACCTCCCATATTCACACTATTGAACTGTGATGGGGATGTTCTTATACTGCTGATTCTGCTGACCCCAACTCTGACCACCATATCTCTGACCTCCATAATTAGACACATAATTCATATCTTCAGGGTAGTGTTGATGATCGTGTTCTGCATTACACTAGTTACCAATTGGCTGAATAATGCAAGATGTGCACAAGCCCCCATTAGTAGTATTTACAATATGTACCTGCTATTTTTGCCCTGACTCTTCCACCTTTTTGGTGAGTATGCTCATCTGTGTCAATAAGGTGGCCATATTTTCAGCAATTGAATTGGATGGATCTAGAGCCTAGAGGCACTGAGTGCACCATTGGAGTGATAGGTGCATTTCTAGTTATCCATCCCGAATTCTACGCCATCTTGTCAAGCAGACCTTGACCTTCTCTCCATGTTTTACTCAAAAATGCTCCACCAGCTGAAGCATCAACAATGTTCTTCACGCTATCTGACAATCCTATGTAGAACCGCTATCCCAACATCAAATCTGGAATGCCATGGTGCGGACATATGACCAGCATCCCTTTAAAACGCTCCCATGTTTCATGCAATGTTTCTGTTGGTCTCTGTAACTCAAAATGTCATCAATCTGTTGCGCGATTTTGTTAGGGGGTGGAACTTGTTCACGAATTGCCTGACTAACTCTTCCCAAGTTGTTATGGAATTTATGGGGAGTGAGTTTAACTATGTCTGGGCAGCTCCTGTCACTGAAAATGGGAATAATAGCAATTTGATTGCTTCCGGAGTTACATTGGGCTGCCTTTGGGTTTTGCAGATTGACAGAAAAATTTTCAAGTGCTGTTGAGGATCTTCGACTTGTGACCCCGAAAATAGTCCCTTGTTTTGCAACAAATGCAGCATGTTATTCGTGATTTGGAATGATTCAGCTTGTATCTGCGGGACTAAAATTGAGGTGGCCAGATTTTCAACTGTGGGTTGTGCCCAGTTATAGAGAGCCGCCTCGGGCACAACAGGTGCCATTGGAGCTATTGGTACAGCTGGGTGTTCTTCGTGATCTCCCATTGCTGTTTCTAATGGGTCAGTTGTCTGTTGTTGTTTGTTTTTCCGGTTGGCCCGGTTCAAGGCCTTGAAAACTTTCTCGGGATTTGATAATACTTTAAATACTTTACCAATTCTCGATGAGTTTTTAGGCATGCACCTGTGCAACCAAGTCGACAAACGTTAAAAATTTCAATGTAAAAATTGGGCATAGAGAAAACTAACTACATTAAGAATTTTTGTACTTCTTTCAATCGTAATTGATAATATCGTTAATTCCACGGCAACAACGCCAAAATTTGATCACGCTCAACTGTGTCTATTAAAAGACTAAGCGGGCGTTGCAAATATAATCCGGGGTATTATGCCCCATGTCGAATCCCACAAGAAATTAACGTATCAAGAGAAACCTTTAAAGTACTAAATTCTTATTAGTCAACCTTCTCAAACTTTGTGAATAACAAGTGGTGTTATGGTCACTACTACAGCTAACAGAATTAATAAATGAAGATTAACTAACACGCAGTTGTAGACAATTGGAATAAAGGTCTAAGGTAATGGTTTCCCCCGTTGTTGAATTCCTTAGTTGTATGTTTCTTATAGCTTCGATTTAGTTGCCTCTATCGATCATGAACTCTCCAGCTATCATAACTCTCTCTCAAGTAATTATGATAATTTACTAGACGCACTCTCTCAAGCTACGCTAGCTAGATTCGCATTACAGCTCACTTAGATCGCACCCGAGGTATCATTATCTCTACTCCAACCTCTAAACCCTCGATTATGACTCTCGCCTATACTCCAGGAGTGATGTTGTTCAAACAATTACCTAAATATGCACACTCTCTCTCTCAAGCAGATACATAATAAATAGGAACGGCTAATTGAGGATCCTTTCAACTAACCAAAATCAAAACGTAGTTGAACAAATAAAGATTAACAACCAACTCAAAACTATATTAATATAAGAACAAGTTCATCTACAACGGATTCACCCAAAACCTTAGATTAAAAGAGTTAGCTACCCATAACAATGATGTTCATCACAATAATCAAATTCATTACAAATCACAAAAATAAAAGGAAGAAGAGAAGAACTTGATGTAGAATACTCCTCCTTGCCTTTTGCCTTTCCTTTTCTTGCTCTCAGCTATCAAAAGCTGCACACACACCCTTTGGCCGAGCTTGACCTTCTATAGGTTAAGTGAATTTGCCCCAGACTTCCAAATTTACCCCTGAGAATTATTTTCCAGAACTGGGCTAGCGCGGCCGCGCACGTGGGCGCGCTAATGGCAGCGCTAGTAGCCTACCATTCTGCCTCGACCATCTGGGCTAGCGCGGTCGCGCTAGTGGACGCGCTAGTCCAGTCCTTCATTTGGTCGATTTTTTTTCTCGTCTTCTCGCTTACTCAGCTCCTAGGGGTCTTTCTTGCTTCAATGTAGCTCCAATCACAGCTTTAAGGCCTCATACAAACTCCTCATTCTTGCAACACAATTTAGAGCTCATTTTTCATCATTTAATTATATTAGATCATTGAAACATAATCAAGTTGGGGCAAAACAATCATCAAATGACATAAATCTAGCCTAATATCAAAATACTATCTACGAATCTTGAGTTGAACTCGGAAGAGAATTCTAGATTGCAAAGAGCATTGAGTTGAATAATTTCATGGTTAGGATATGAATATACCTAATAGTCTTGTTCAGTTG